ACGAGCCAAAAAAGAAAGAAAAAAAAACAACGAAGAAACTGAAAATGCCCGAACCAAACACCGACTTGCGCGTTATATGCAAATGGTGTATGTAAAAGGAACTCTAGGAAAAAGGAAAAAAAGGGGATCATTCATTGTATCGTGACTAGTACTCTATTTATATGATCAAATGGATTTTGGGACGTTCCCCTCCCCCCCTGGAACTATCTTTCAGGGGATCGCGACTTAGGGCGAACCGTTCAAGTCCGCTAGATAACTCCATAAACCCGAAAGACGTACCACTCACCTGGGAAGAACCACATTGCCGGAATCTACAATCGCAAAGAAAGTCGGGTCGAAACTCTGGGATCTCGCCTCCAGCGCGTCCTTGATTCGCTTCGGCGGACCAGTTCGCAAATGGCGGGTCCCCATGCATCCCGGGGAATCAATCACGTTGTGACAGGCTGGGGGACCATGCGGGCCCCGAACTGCGTCTAAAACTACGCTTGGGAGTAAGTGGAGGAGGACGAAGAAGAAGAAGGAACAGATACATAGAGGAGGACGGAGTACGGGGTCAAAAAAAGGTCAGCGATCCATAGAGGACGGGACATTGAGATCCACGCGCAAGCGCAGCTGAAGATGGCTTCAACTCGGTGGATTATCCTCGTGCTGGACGCCCGTGCGACGGTTGTGAATTGTTGCCACGACGCCGACGGGCCTTTTGGATCTGTTCCAGGACGATCGGTCGGGTCGATGCATGGCGCGTGGCTCTAAAGCCGCCCGTGCAGGCACAGCTGAGATTGTGCTCCGGGATATTCCCTGACAGTAGGTTATGAAGAAGCGATGGGGTTTCAAGATGCGTGGCGGTGGTGCGACTCAGCCACAACCCTGCTCTCCACCAGAGTGCTGCACTCGGCTGAAGAAGGTAATCTGCTGCAAGCACGAGACTTGCTGAGGTGTTCTCGGGGAGGCCGAGGTGGAGAAACGGTGGAGGTGGCAGAAAGAAGCATCACTGAGCTGGAGTTGGAGTTGGAGTGAACTGGATAAGCTGTGGGTGACGTGTTTGACACAAAAAGGCCAAGCTAGTGGGAACTACCGGGGGTGGTCAGATCAGGGTGAGAGGAGCTGATGACCGGCCATAAAACCCTTGATCTTCCCTCGACAGGACTCGGAGTCAGTCAGCCAGCTCGAAGCCAGATCTTTGTCGAGTCCATCCACCAGTCCTGCTCTGCTTCATTTCTGTTTAACTGCTGACCTGCTTCGTAGAACCTTTATCCCGTCCATGATGAGCTGGCGTCAAGCCACAACATCTCCAGGGGACGACTCTACCAGCTTAAATGGATTATCTCGTGTTGGATCTCCCTCGTCATGCGTCTGTGCCGTCTCAATCACTCTATCATACACGTGAAGACCCTAGACCTCAGACTCGAAAAATCGTCGAAAGTCGGTGGCCTAAAAATAAATCAAAAATGGGAAATCTGGGAAATCTGGGGGCCAAATGCTGGAAAAGGGGCCGGCTTAAGGGATCAACACGATCACCACAACGCATCACAACACGCTAAGAACATGACCAAAGAAATCGGGCAATCGAGAACCGTGAATTGCACGCTGAAAAGTCAAAAGCCAAGGCACTCTGTTCGTATTGTTAGCGCCTTTTCTCTGTCCTAAATCTTCCTGTCCAATAGCAGCCCAAGGGTCTCGGCTCAGCCTCGTATTCAAGGTCTAAGAGCCGCTCGATTGAGCCCTGCGTTGGCCCGTTTAAAAGGAGCGAGGACTCAAACACTGAAGCTAAAAAGCCTTTTCTCTTTTCTGCGCGCGAATTCATACCACCTAGGCACATCGAAGCCCTTTGTAGTGCCTGTACACTGCGAAACGGGTTCAGTTTCAGTGCAGCCAAGCTTTGTACTTCTACGGAGTACAACAAACCGAGACCCACCGTAATCTCGCATTAGCACCAACACAATGGCACCGCGACGTGGTGGAGGAAGCTATAGCTCTTCCTCGGGAGGCTCTTCTAGTGTCTGGGCCACTGAGACTGAATTTTCACTGGATATATACTCTTCAAAGAGTCTCTTCATTGCAGGCTTTGCTTTTGATATCCTTTTCGCTCTCGCACTCATTGGGTTTCTAACCTGGTCGTGCTTGATTCGAGGCCACAATGGCCAGATGAAAGGTGTGGTGGTGACTCTTGTCGCATGGTTATGGTATGAAAATGATCTTGTATACATCGGCGAACCAAATAACAACTGACAGTCAAATCTAGCGCCCAAATTACTTCAATAGTTTACCAGATCTTTTTCCTTGCCGAGGCCACCATTACTCAATATTATAACATTGACCTGATGCTTCAAGTGTTTTTCTCCGATCTGGCTATTGTGATGGTTGTCTTTGTCTTCTACAACCTGATCCATCGTCTGCTCAACCGCCTCACAGATTCCGGGAAACCCTACGCGGCTATCGCAATCGTTCACTGGATAATTCTCGGCATTTTAGCGGTCATTTCATTGGCAGCTTGGGCCATGTTTGTGGTAGTAAGAGTCAGATATGTTCAAGGACCTTACGGTGATTTGACCGAGTTTTCGTTGGACGTGAACAAGGTGGATGGCGCACGAACCATTCTTTTCTTCGTGGTATCGCTGGAGATCTTCGCCTGGATACTCTTCGCGGCAATCAAAGCTGGTTCCCATAGATTTACCTCACGAGTAAGTTATAGAATGGATTTCCCTGACCTGTGTCTGGTATATGGAATTAAAAGAAACTCACCCCATCACAGGTTCCTGTCTATGCCCTCCTTGGCGGAAGCATCTGCTGGTTCGCGCTGACTCTGACAAATGCCGTCGTTTACATCCGCTACTATATTGAGATTGTTTATGTCGCCCCTGACTACCTGCAGACCGCGCTAGCGATTTTGCAGTTTCTCTTTGGCGTCGGTACTCTTGTCGGAATCCTGCTATGCTGCCAGAAGTGGCGCCATGTCGATGACTCGATGGGCAAGCCACAAGCTGTTACAGTACAGTATCCCTACGGCAGTGGTCCTTATCAGCAATACCCAGGATATGAGCAGCAATTCCAGCCATATCCCGGTCAGCCACAGCCTCAATACCCCCAGCAATACCAGCAACCTGTGCCTGTGCAGCCATATCAACAGCAACCCTCACCGCTACAAAAGTGAATGTCCTAGTGGCTGAAGTTTTGACAGAATCGGGATTACTGAATGCATCTATTGCATCTCTTGTGTCTCTTAATTAATACCGCTATGCCGTGGATGACTGGTGCTTTGCCTCCCAACTGCTACTATTTGCTTTCGAGAATATGATTGCCCTTTTGCCCTTTGTCGAATGTCGCGCCAGAAATACCCAATTTATGTTAACACGCTAAATATGAAATTAAACAAAAATATTAATGTACTTAATCAAATGACTATCTGTTATAATTCAATAAATCCACAAGGCCGCAGATGGACCGTATAATGGATAAAGATTTACTTGCGGAGTGGAGCTCTTGTGTGTAGATCTTTCTTCGATTGGTTTCTACGCAAGGTATGACGATTATCACTGAGCTCTGGGAAGTTATTTATCTCGTTAGATGACCTTAGAAGTGAAGTAAATAGTAACAAAACGGAAGGTATAACTGAGAAGTGATGGTATTACCTCAAAGAGGATCTAGCGTAGATAATAATATACTGTCCTCTGCCATCGCCTTGATACCAATTAAAGTTCGCGGCAACAGAAGCTCAAATTAAATTTCGTGACATCCATGTATATCAGTAGTACTATTATCACAGAAAAGGACGTTTGCTGGCAAATATTCCGCATCTACAGGTCAGGTACCGCCACTCAACACTTAGCCGCTCATGAAATGCCCATTCGATATTCAGAGCACTTAAAACCAGTCCACACGATTTCCATTATGGCTCATAAAAGAACCACTTTTCTCAGAATCCAGGCCTTCAATAACCTCCAGGCTCTTTCTAACACTTTCCTCAGGCCGGATCTGGCCCTGGAGCGAAGGATCTTCGGCCCGGAACTGCTCCAGCATAAACTGATTTGCCTGTGCTACCTCTGAAGGCATCTCTCCTGTGGTGACAATATTAGTGTCTGCCATTATTGAAGCAAGAGAAGGCAGGTCACTTACCCTCCCACGTATCAACCCATCCGGGGCTTAAAGCCAACACCTTGATATTTTTGGGTGCAAGTTCTGTCGCATACTTGGCAACTTGGACGTTCATCCCGGCCTTTGAGACAGAGTATGCGACAGCATAGCTGAGGCCACTTTTCTTGATGAGATCCAAATCTGCCATGCCGCTAGATATATGCACGATCTTCTTCTGCACGCCCTTCTCAATCAAGGGTAGGAAGGCATTTGTCGTCCACAGGCCACCATAAATCGCAGTATTAAGGGACGGCTCAAACATATCCCGAGTAGCTTGAACATCAAAGGGAAACTGACTCGGGGTGTAGGGCATCGTGGCCATATCGACGGCGTTAGAGTTGTGGATAAGCACATCAAGTTTCCCGCCTGTGATGGCGGCAGCAGCTGAGGCGGCTTCGAGGAGAGACTTTGGGTCCATCACATCGCCTTTGATAAGGTGCACGTTAGGGTGACTGGAAGCGAACTTCGATATGTTCAGTGAATCGGGATTTCGCACAACCGCCAGGACCGTGTTGGTTGTATCGGTGGCAAGTTGGCGTACAAACTCGAAGCCGATGCCCTTAGAGGCTCCAGTGATGAGATAAGAAGACATTGCGAATTATTGAAAGCCGAGAGAAAAGTACCTAGGTATCAATGAAGAGTGAATTGAACTGTTGTCGTTGTTATTGGGATACTTGTTCGACATTTACTTCCTTTTTTATATACTCCGGGGGATTACAAATTGGGATCCGACCGGACGATCCGTTCGCCCCGGTCCATCTGCATTGCTCAGCCGCCTTCCTTGCAACCGGGTCCTCCGCATCGACCGGTCCGTTACCTCTCCGGCTACTGAGGGACTCTTTGGAACATAATTGTTAATGACTGACTCAATGTCCGCAATCAAGAGGAGAGCATGCGTGGCTTGCACAACTGCCAAGGCGAAATGTACCCCGAAGGCCGAGAACTTGTGCCAGCGGTGCGCTCGTTTGGGCAAGGCATGCACATACCTTGACCTTCCACAAACGAAGCGTAAGCGCAAGGCCACACCGAGGTAATTATTCCCAATAAAAATTGCCATCTACGGTATTGATAATGGATAAAGCCGTGTTGAGGTGCTAGAAAACAAGGTCGACCAGCTGACATCGCAACTCGTTGCCTTGACCCAACAAAATGGGCAGACACCGTCGAGTACTTTGACTCCGCTCACCAACGACCCAAGCTCGTATTATGATCCTAAGTTGGACTCGAGAGAAATCGCCGCCCTGATAGATGCTGCTACGGAACCGTCCCACGGCTCCGAGCCGCCGACCAGCTCTGGCCTGGAGGGCCAGCCGTCTATCGTGGATCGAGGTCTTTTGAGTGAAGTTGAGGCTGAACACTTACTTGCAACCTTCCGGCTTGATTTAGTACCCAAGTTTCCTTTCGTTTGGATTGGACATGACGAAACGGCCGCTCGGCTCAAAAATCGAGAGCCTTTTCTCTTCCTGTGTGTCGTGTCTGCGACCATGGGCAGTCCCCACCGTCTGCGCAAAATTGTTGCTGACGAAATAATGAAACACGTTACCTTGAGGATAGTGACACGGTCTGAGAGAAACCTCGAGTTACTCCGCGGTCTGTTGATCCACATCGCATGGTACTCATACCCCGCAGAGAAATATCACCCGCGGTTTGTGCTTTTGATTCAAATTTGTGTTTCTATGTTTTATGATTTGGGTTTGCACAAAAAGCCCGATTTGAATTTGGATGAGCAGCGGGCACTGCTCGGTACATATTGGCTATCGGCTGGGTAAGACTCTCTACGCTGGCAGATGCGACCTCAGCTCATTCTTTATCAGTTCATATGGCGTACTCGGTCGGCCGGTCATGATAAAGCATGACGGTCGAATCGATGAGTGCATGCAAAGTTTGAGATCTACCGAGAATGTGTCGGATTCGTGGATTGCGCCATTTATCCACATACAGTCTTTCTTGACAATGATGGATGAAGTTCACGCTTCGATGCAGACAGGCGGTGGGAAGGCACTTGTCCAAGTAACGTGCGGCTCTCTACAGCGGCACTTTAATAGTGTGAGAACACGCGTGGAGAATGATATCGCAGGCTGCCCGTCACCGACTGGTATGTATAGGATCTATGTGTTTGATGGAGGCTGACTGGCTATCGTAGTCAATGCAATACGTACTGAGATCATGTATGCGGAAATAGGGCTGCATGAATTATCCCTTCGGGAGGAAATGTGGATTTTAGAGCCTGCCAGCACAATCCGGACAACTATGTTGATGGGTATGATACAGAAAACCAAGGAGCTTATCCTCACGATTAAAACTATACCGACATCAGAGATTGGTCAAATGGTGATAAACACTTGCGCTCGTATATGTGCTGCAGTGGGCTACTTGTCGAGAGCAGCATTAACTCTACTCAAACTAATTACCAGCTCCAACGACTCTGACAGGGAAACCCAGGTCCAGGCCGTTGTTGAAGCAGCAGACTATTCTAATCTTGTGACTGAGCTTGCCATCGTTTTGGAGACAAGGCTTCTGGGAATGTCTGCTGCAGATAAAGAGACTGATATTGTGGGAAGTCTTTGCTCCAAAATGCGTCTGTTAGCACGTTGCTATCCATACCAAGTCAGGGAAATAGTTGGAAATGTGCCCTCTCAAGCTCAGGATGACTCCATAAAGGAAGTTGATGCCGATGGGGTTGCTATAACACCCCAAGTCTGGCCGTCTATATACGGCGATCTGGACGACATGTTACCAGTTGATGACATGCAGTGGGATTCTCTTTTGAGAAGTTTCACAGGGTTCAGCTAGCATGGCCAATCCATTCTTTTGCCATTGATGTTGCAAATCCATCCTTTTAAAAGACGGAACACGAGCGGCCTACTATATGTTCCGTGGGGGCGAATAATTCAAGTTGTAAAGGATTCGGCGCATTTCCCCCTATGCAATGCATTTATATTGTATCATTATGGAACTACACGAATTCGCAATTCTATTCTTGTAGTAGAGATACTATCAATGACCGTGAACCTGGATTGTGGGGTGCCTTGTCTTCTTGGTATGCCAGTATGCAACGAAGGCTGCCGCCCCACTATTCAATCTTGGTCCAGATTGGATGGCGATGACCAGGGACTACGAGTGTACATGAGTATTTGCTATGTGATTATACCCCACTGGGGCCAAAAAAAAGGGAAAAATCAAATTCCCTAGCATGTCGGACCTGTTTCCGTTTGTTAAAGGAAATAGTTTTGAACCTCTTTTTCTCCTGTCATAACTATCGGAGAGAGGGTAGTTCTTAATTTTACACTCACGCCTGTCTCGCAAAGTGCAGACTCATACCTGAAAAAAATGAGGGGCTTGATTCCTCTCGCTCTTGCTGCCATTGTCCAAGCTGGACACGTCCCCAGCCAGGAAGCTATTGCCCAGACTGGAGACATTTCCACCGATCATCGTGATGACAGACCTACCGTCTGGAAACACATCGACATGATATCCGTTCCTTTCGTTCATAAAATATATCCAAACAACAGACCCGTCATCCCAATTGCCGATGGTACGAGAGAGGACTGCACGGAGTAAGTGACACAGGTTTCTCAATCGATTTTACTTACTTATCGCACTACAGGTACTCGTGGTATAAGGATTACGAGTTTCGTGGCCAAGAAATTGAGCGAGACTGCTGGGGTATTGCCATGTTCTACGAAATTACACCAGAGGTTTGTTTTCGCTGCCTATGTTCGGATCCCATCAGAAAGCATTTGAAGCTAATAATAATGCCGCAAGGAATTCATTCTTTGGAACCCATCGATGGCTAAGAACGGTACCCGGGCTGGCGCCTCGAGCGTTGTAACTGTTTCACCGACAAGTACGGTCGCTTTGCCTTTAAATTATTGGTATCCTTGCACTATATCGCCAAGTACGTCTTACTGTGTGGCTTCCTCGACACCCACTTCTTAAAAGTGAAGTCGACGGTTGATACTATAGCATATTCAGGTCCAATGCTTTGTCCCGGTTGTTTGATTTCGATGGAGTTACGAGTCTCAATTACGAGAATGATCGTGTTTCGAAAACTTCTGGCGGACCTGTTGAAATATTGGATTTTGTCTGGGTGACCCTAGGAGTGTCTCTTTAAGTCTTTCTCTGGCATGCTGCTTGTATAGTAGTTGCTAGTTAAATTGGCAGATTAGTCCTCGGTCATCTTGGAACTCGTAAGGATTCAACTTTTGATTCTATAGCTAGTCTTTCTGCAAGCTTCTAGCATCCATCTTTAATGTCGCTGATAAATTCGTCCCTTTCGAATAATTTATTTTATCGTGGAAATTGAGCATTCCTGCACTTTTAGAACTTGCCCCGAGCTTCAGCCGGTCAGGCGGTGGCGCATCCGAAGATTAACATCATCTCCACCCGCTATCAATCCCATCATTACAACAATTCTCCGCAAGTACTGCCCCTCATCACCCAACGAAAATGGTCTGTTCGAAATGTCAGAAAAAGCTGAAAAGCACCGAGCTCGCCACGCCCGGTGTCAAGAACAAGAATGATATGTATTATGGCTCGCCATCGACTACTTTGGGTAGTGGCTCGAAGGGAAAGTCGACATTAGGTGCGACAGGTGTGGGGAAGGTATGTTAACTTCTCTTCCAAAATTGCAGATCGGAATCCGGGTTATTTCCCAATTCATTCTGGGGATCTTGATGGGATTTGGCTGATAACTGCAGAATAAACTCCTCAGCGCTAAGGCGAAGAATCCATACGCTGCCTATGCTTCATCTTGCGAGTCTTGCAAGAAAAAGACAGAACAAGGGAAGAAGTTCTGCCAGAAGTGTGCTTATAAGAGAAATGGTATGTAGGCACCAGTATTTCCTGCCTTCAATTCAATCTTGTCCTACTAGTATCGAAGAGGCACCTGCTGACGGATATAGCTTGTCCAATGTGCGGGAAGAATCTTACAGGCAAAACAGCGAAAGAGCAACCGGTTGTGCAAGGGCAGAAGTTTAACCTTACGTGATTGTTTTTGTATCTAGTATCTTCTTTGCTTATTCATGGTGGTGGGCTTGATGACATAGCACGGCGTTTTGGGACTCTGGACAACTCATTGGAATAATTCAATTGACAGTACAAGGAAAAATCTAGTTATACATGGCATACGTGGTAAAAGTATATGCAGAACGCTGCCAATAGCGCCCCAGGAAATAATCGCCAGTCCTGGCTGGTCAGTCTCTCCCTTTTTCAGTTTCTAATACATCCTCCCACTGCCCTATCAGGCCTTCAACATTGGAGGACTTATCGCCTCAGATTGTTTATCGGTCGGCCAGCATGTTCTTAACGTAGCTGTAGTATTGGGGCAGCACGTAGCTGGCAATCTCCTCCTTGGACAACCACTTGAAATCCTTCAGGTCCTTGTTGGCGGACAGATCGGCCTGACCGGCCATGATGCGAGATTTCAGGAAGAAGGTCTTCTCGCCGTGGTTCTCGGCACCGGTGGCCTTGTCGACGTGGGTCTTGCGGTTCTTGTAGACGTGGTGGCCGGAGGGGTGGAAGCCGACCATCCAGGTGTTCATGTTGGCACCAGCGGTTTGATAAAGGGTACGGTCAGCAGCCTGAAAAGGGGGAAAATAATATTAGCACCATGGCATTTCATCAAAATATGGATGTTGAATGGGATCGGTCTCACCTGACGAAGAGTCTCTTCTGCCTCCACGGGCATGCTGGGGAACTTCCAGTGTCCCTCCTTCGACTGAACGAGCAGGTACAGAGTCCGCGAAAGCAGACGGTTCAAGCTCTTGTGATCACCCTTCTTATCCGCCTCCGTCACTCGGGAATGCGGCCGCGGGATCTCTTCCTTCTTGCTGGTATCTTGGGAGGTGGCATTGGCTGTGGATTCGGCGTCCTGAACGAGCATCTCGACCTGGTGCTCAGGCTCGGCCTCCTTGGCGCCGAGGAGGAGTTCATCGTTCCACGAGTCGCTGTCGTACGCGTTGTACTTGCCGATGTCGCGTGCAGGAGTCCGACGCTCCTGGATCTTCTTCTTCCAGTCCTCGTCCGCTGGGGTTCCGCGCTTGAAATAGAAATATTTGGTGAATGGTAGAGCCAAGCGCTCATTCAAACGCTTCTGATAGAAATGGAAAGCTTTCTCGAAGGGCTCGAGGTCACGGGTGACTTGGGGTGGGCGCGAGAGGACGACGCCGGCATTGATGGTGTAAGGGAAGGGAGGAGTAGTGGTAGAGGTAGTCGGTGCGTCGGTAGGAGTCTCAGTAACGGTCGCAGTAGCAGCAGAGGCATAGCTGCGACGGCCAAGGGTTTCTTGACAGCTTCTGCAAACGCCGGAGTCGAGTTTTGAGGGTCCTATTAGGGGGAGTCAGTGGGAGGTCGAATTGGGGTTAAGCAGATGGCGGATACGCACGCAAAAGCGAAGTTATGCGCCGGGCGCCATTGGAACCGGACGACATGATGTGAATGCAGTGTCAATGATATCGCTGGAGATATGCGAGTGTTGTCAAGCCGAGAAAAGTTCCCAGTCACGTTGGCGATGGCGCTAGACCCAAGTAGGTCCGAAACTGCCCACAGCGCCAGACCGCCCGCTGGCAGTTTAAATTGAGAAAACTCATCCACAACATTTCTTCTTCTTCCCAGGCACCCATACCTTATCGTCACTGCGTCTTGTTCTCCCCACGGCCAGTCGACCATTCAGTGGTGCTCAGAATGAATAGCGGCTATTTTTCGCTAGCGGTACCTTCTTCAAACTAAGGCGTACTGTTAGATAGCTGTCGCAGACAATTCGGCACTCATTTCATATTTTATTTATCTATCCATGCAATTGAAAAAAAATAAAAAATTATAATAATAATATCTAAAAAAAAGAAAATCTGGGATCTGTGACCATACACCAATAATAGACAAAAGAAAGATCATTCAATTATCTACTTTCAATCCGATCCATCGCCGCTGTGGGTTCTGTCAAGTTAGCCATCTGAATCCGATATCATGATGCTCCTCACGCCACCAGAACAAATCGGTCGTATTTTCAGGGCAATTTTATGATACATCTCTGACCAAGGTAATTAATAGTAATATGCCCTCAGGCTGCTGTTTAGATTGGATTCAAGTTCGCCTTAGTATATAGTTACTGCTATATACTAGCCACTTAATGTGCATCACCGCGTTGAAGATGGATGGAATGCTTGATTTAGGGAGGAGCTCAATACGAATAGACAGGTCTCTTCTTATACCGCAAAGACTCAAACAGATAGACGGGGTAGAATGACAAAATGGCATGTCCAGGGACAGTTTCAACAGCCTGAACCATTTGAAAGGATGTAAATGAAGTCTAACTGTAGTGTCTAGACTTGATAGTATACTTTGTAGTATACTCAGTCACCGCCTAGTTGCCCGCGCCGAGGATCCCGTGACGACGAGCACCCCCGGACTTGGGAGCCGAGGGAAAACGACAGCCGATCGCAGCCCCAACTTCCGACCTCCACGTTCTCTCTCGCCCAACTCCGCCTCGCTCTCACCCATTGTCTCCCCATTTTCCATGCCATTTCCGTATCGCTGACGGAATGTCTTCCACCAAATTATCTTCTCCTTCCTCCTCCTCCTCCCCACATCCCCCACGAAGCTATGCTCCAAGACCTACAAGAAAGCCTCCCAGCTGTACTTGACGCGCCGCCTGCCAGAGTCCCTCTCCTCACTCCAGCCAATTATCACCGGTGAATCACCACAGGATGAACAATACACCAATGGCGATTATGCGGCCGGTGTCGCCCCGATCGCAATTGCCCCCAGCACGTGGAGAATCAAGGTGTGGAACCTCTACATCACTCTGCTCAGCGCAATAGTCGATCTTGGCGCAGAGGAGGGCAAGAACCAATTCGGTCAGAAAGAATGGAAGAATATGGCCACGCAAGTGCGTGAAGGTGGTATCTGGGATACCGTCGTACAAATTGGCTATCAGGGCCGCGAAGGCTCCGTGGATGCGGAGGTCGTCTATAACCTGTGAGCAGCCCCCTCTTCTCTCCGCTTGCAATGAACCGCGGCTAACCCACCACGACCAGTGCTACACTACTCCTCAACCACTCATCCTCTCAAGCTTTGAACCAGCAACGGCTCGAGACTTACCTCTCCGCATACGGACAGCCCAGCGACCTCGCCGACCGTCTCCAAGATGTTTCCGACGGGTTTCAGCAACAGCGCATGGCCGCATCAAGCGGAGCCGATACACCGAAGGACCTTGCTGCTCGGGTAAGGATCATTGAGTTGTTCACCTTGCATGTTCTCCCTCGAAATGAAGAGTGGGAATACGCGACCGAGTTCATCAACCTGAGCGAAGTCCTAGACGAAGAGCGCAAAGAGCTCTTCCTCCAAACATTAGAGGGACTCAAGGAAGAGAAAGAACGAGGTGAGCTCCGCGCAGCCGAATTACAACGCCAGAAAGATGCCGAGCTGGATAGGCAACGAGAAGAGGAGCGCCGACTAGCAGAGGAGGCTGCCGCCGCCGCACATCCGAAAGCGAACGGGCACAAGCGGAATACTAGCGAGGTTGACTACGGGATTGAGAAGGGTAGCCCTCGCAGCTCCTCCAAGGGCAAGGGGCCAGCCAAATCATCAGACAAGTCGCCGAATGGCAAGTCCTCGACCCGAACGGCGCTTTCATCTTCCAGCTCGAAGAATTCCAAGAAACAGCTCAAGCCTGAACCCCGTAGCCAGTCGCGGGCGGTGGCCAATGCTATTCGAAATCTGTTCAAGCATATTATCCAGAGCGTGTCCGGGAACCCGATGTCAATAGTGCGAACCTTACTTTTCGTGCTGGGTATCTTGATGGCGATGAGCCGACAGGATGTACGCGACCGAGTCCGCAGGATTACGGGCGGCGCGTGGCAGAAAGTCAAAGGCACTGTTGGGATGGGCGTGAAGGTGAGCTATATCTGAGATATTGGCGGGCGATGAATGGTTGTCTTGAACATTTCGTGATTGATCCTGTATATTTCCTCATGTTGGTCTGGATACTCCCCATTTTATTTTTGGAAGAAACTTCGCATATACATTTCGTTCGATTGTGATTCTTTTTTGGCTTGTATTAGCAAAATACCATATACTTTCAATGGCTTGACCAGCCAGATTGATTTCAAAAGAGAACCATGAATATTTTGACTTTTCTTTCAACTCGGCCGATCTTGCTGGTACTGGGGTGACTTCAAGGTACTATTGAGCTTTGACAATGACAGCAGTCAAAAAGTCAAATCTCAGTCTATGAGTTACTCGACAGCGTACATACTTCGTAGGCCACGCGTAGCTTCTTGGACCCACTTCCCCGCAAACGAAGTGACTGACACATTCCAAAGATGAGTTAAATTAAATCTCTATAGTTTCGCTATGCTATCAACGCACAAGAAAGAAGTATAACCAGGCACAAAAATCGCCAAAAGTCGCTCAGAAAAAGAGAGAAAACTCCTTCGTATCAGGACCAGCCATCGACCATCTTTGCAATATCAGACCTCGACAGGATCACTGAATCGCAAGATTGTCTCACCCTTGCGAGCAGCAACCTTGACAAATTTTGCACCCGTATCAGAGATGCTCATATTTGTTTCGAAGCCAGTACGTGGATGGGTACTCATGGGGTGAGTTGCATCCGAGACCAGAGACGAAAGGGAGTAGTAGACGGCCCAGTTATCATATTCAGTCGCGCCATTCCAACTCATGTAAATGATCCCATCTTTAATCACAGCAGCAGGATTCCAGAAGGGCGTGGCTTCCCATTTATTTTTGAAAGCGCGGTAGGACATGGCGTGTTCAAGCGCACCGAATTTCCCGGATAGAACTACTTCGCCTTTGCTGTTGTACTCTTTGACATACGGAACAGATCCGTAGCCGACGAACATGTTTGAAGTAGCTGTTTCTTTGTCGAGGAATTCTAGGTTTCCCTGGGTCCCGGCATAGATTGCATTTGTTGGATCTGATAGATTGTGGAGCAGTGAGCCGGTCATGGTGGTTAGGTCGATATCGAAGACCATTGCTGTTGTCTCGCTTTGGGATATGTTTTGCTTCTTAGCGTTGTTGAAGAGACTGAGGACAAGGTGCTTGTCTGTTTCGTTGTATATGCGAATGTCGTGTTGCCATGAGAAGCGGAGGTCTTCGCCGGTGAAATCGCCGTCTCCGATATTGCCCTTGCATTTGTTAGATTCACCAGTCATTGACAAGAGCACGTGGAGTTTATCTGAGGCTATTACTCACCGAAAGCTGCCATCGAACAGTACCATCCTTGTTCAGGTAAAATGCAGAGCAGTAGAAGCGCATGGAGACGATGTATCCATCTTTGGTAGGAGTGATTGAGTTCGTGTGGTACGGATCCCAGGACATCGCTTGAATAGGGTTTGTATACATCCATTGGCGAGACTTGGATAGCGGAATTTTGTCCTGGTGGTCGAGGGCATTCCATTTAAAGATCACTTCGTTGGTGGCAATGTCAATCTCGTAGAAGAGGTTGGTGGTAATCCACGAGTCAGAAGGACGACCGAAGGAGCTCAGATTATGTTGGGTGATGTTGATGGCGGAGACCAGAATGGTATTGTTGTCGGTGATAAAGTGCTCGTGGACATCGATGTATGAGTCGCGTGTTTCATTGTCGCCAGTAACGAAGTTGTCGGTCAACGTGATAGTGTGAATCTCCTGGTATGTCTTGTCTAGAATGTGGACCTTGCCATAACCATAGCCCCCATAGACTCCAGCCTCACCGGACCAATAGGTGAGTACATCCTCGCCGAAGAGCTTTTGTACCCGAAAGTTCATAGAGGCCACTTCGGGGCCCTGGTAGATCATTTCACCATTGTTGTCGTAGATGGTCACGGCAGTGCCGAGCGAGTTCTCGTTTCGAATGGGGATGAAGATTAGACCTGGGTCAACGCCTGCTGTTTTGTTCAACTGCAGCTGAGGAGGTTGCCAGGGACCAGTCTTGAAAGAAGCATATGGCCAGTTAGCCTCGGTGGCTGCAGAGAACCAGCCAAGAAGTATCAAGATGACCCCCACGGGGAGATGAACACTCCACATGCTCGATTTCAAGAATATCAAAGCTTAATCGAAATACCCACAGCCTCGTCACGCATTCAGGAGAGCAGCTTCCGGCCAGCGACCATATCACTTGTCTACCATAAAATTCAGGCCTAGGCCGTGAGAATCAAAATCAGGACGGAGTTGGGGATTCAACGGTTCGGATAGATATCTCCAGAATGACCCGTCTCTTCTCACGCAGACAGCCAGTGGGATCGCGAGCCTCAAATCCTGGAACCCTCTTCTGCAAGCAACACATTATTTATCACAGCGGCCACAGAAAAATAAATGATGGGGGTCGGCGGTGGAACGCCGAGACTCCACCGACTAGGGGGGCTCTTGGCAAGCAAAATATTTTGATTCGGTTTTTTCCCTCGTGCACATACTCCGTATTCGTAAATAGACCCACAGGGCGTAAGCATCCCCTTTTTTTCGCGCCACACTCCGCTGTGGAGGAGAGATCGGATCTCGGATACGTTTGTATGATTTCTTTAAAGACAGATCTAATCCACACCCATTCCAGAAATTCTGGCTAGAGATCTGTTCGGAGTATTCTTTGAATAATTGCTGGAGGGATTTTCTTCTCCAAGAAATGGCCGCTGTCGCTATAGATAAACTGAATACGATTGTTTTGTTGAGGCTAGAAGTTTGCCCTGTACAGGTACCTCATGGGACATTCATTATGTGCCCAAGTAGAATATAATAAATAGCTAGTGTCGCATGGCATAATCAACCGATTTACAAGTCACAAATACATTCTTTTTGAATGGAAAATCTTTAAAGCGTTCATCATTTATCATTGCGGGTTAGAAGTGGAGTATCAGTTTGTTTCCCGCCCATTCCCAACTAGGATACCGTGACTTTCTACTGGTATCTCCGACATCTGCGGTTCAACTTCGTTGTGATGACCCTGCTCAATATCTTCTTTCTCTGAAATACGAGCATGCCACCGTCGAAAGAGCTGAACAAAGAAGTGGGCCACGCAGATCTGCTCAGTGGTATATAGCAATACTGGAACAGATGTCTTCGCTTTGGTGTATAGATCAAGGGGTGCCCACATAGCGTATAAGAGTGGAATTCCAAGTGCAGTGCTCTTCGCAGGGCCGCAAAAGCACACAGCAATCGTCTCTTCTGGGGTCATTGGGCTGAGCGTAGCAATGGACCAGCCTAGCGAGGAGAGTAACTTCGGCGGCCGCGAGGTAAAGAAGCATACCCCAGTGAGGGCGATATATAGCCCAATATTGAAGAAGACCACGAATATCACGCTTTGTACCGAGAGGCTCTGAAGAGCACCTGTAGCGAAACATGAAGAGAATGTAGTCCTAGGGGGGGACAGTTAGAACCTAGAAACTACTCACATTTTTCGTTTTGTTTACTTACCAGATCAACAATAACATACAAGCGCTGGCTAGCTTGGGCAATTTGGTCTTTTGTATCACGGAATTCGTTTGATCCGGCCAGGTCCAGCGCACCAGTTGTCCAACAAAGAGAGGCAGCAGAACACTCAGGCCGAGCTGCTGGAATACGTCCTTGTACATGCTCCCCAAACTCCCGCCTCCGAATCTCCAAACATCAAACTCTGCGGTTTTCGGAATAAGGGTCACTGTCCAAGCTGCCGTAAGAAATGGACCCAAGATATTAGCCAGCAGTACCTCCACAAGGGCCGCAGCATCGTCACCACCGGCAGCCCTTGTCATCACCACATTCGAGGCAATTGTCGTGGGAATACATGCAGTGAAGATATACCCAGCCAGCACAGCACGATCGACCCGCCCGCCAGGGTCACTGGCTAGGATGATGTGAACGACAGCCAGGACCAGAGCGGGGATAAATAGAAACGAGATGATCTGTACGATAAGATGAAGCCGCCAATTCAAGAGTTGCATGAAGAGTTTCTGGCGGGGAATACTCAGGCCACTAACGAGAAAGATGATGGCAATGACACCGTACATGACTGAGTATTCGGATTTGATGATGCCACCGTGTTTGGCGACATTGGGGAAAAAGTAGGCCAATACGCAGGCGACGCCCATTCCGATTAGCAACCACTGGTGAAGAAGCAGCATCACCACTCGTTTTCCGACGGCCTGCCAGCGCGGAGTGCGAGTGGCTGTGACTGCCATGGATTCGTCCATGATTCTATCGTAGACTCATGGATGGTATACACCTGACATAGAAGTTCAGGGCACCGGGGCAGTGTGAAATGTATGTCTGTATCAAGAATTTAGCAGGCTGCCGTAAATCTTGAGAATTGGCGGTGTTGTCAATCGCGCGATCGGCATTCCTCCGACGGAGTTGTCGGCGATTCCTTCAACCGCATCACATCGCATCGATTTGATTTGCATTGAATCAAAGCCATCCCCATCCCATCTTCCCCGGACTAGAGCAGACAGATCGGATTAGACCCGAGTATATGAGATTGACGCTGGGGCAACTCTATTTTCCAGTTTTACTCGGCATTGGACTTCAAGGTTATCTGATCCGTTGCAAAAGCGCCGAAATCGGGTAGCCGATTGCGACCGTCGGGGAAGACATGTGAAGTTCATTCTGACAGGGCACATGCGCAATCCAAATATTCATGGATCTAGTTTATCAAGGTGTATTCCGTACCCCGGAGAATATCAATCGCATCATCGAATGGGGGGGAGGGTTGTGGTGGATCGGGCTAATCTGGGTAAAACATTCAACCGCGTCACTAACAACTATACAGGATAGCCTGCCCAGCTATACAACTACAGATACTACAATAACATAATACGATGACTACTAAAATAGCCATCGCTATTTATTACCGTTTCTGCTCTATTATATTACTATTTCTATTCCCCAGACTTGAACTACCTGTACCTGTACCTGTATCTGTATCTGTACTCTATCGCAGGTCAAATGACCTCCAAGTGAACCTCGGCTGAGAGGAAACGCGCTGGCCCGATTTCTCCCGGAGTAACCAGTCAACCAGTCAACTAGCTGGGCTTCAGCGGTTTCCGCTGCGGATATGTTAATTGCGAATTACGGCCTAGGGGTTCATCAATAGCCGGAGTAATCCAGTCCTCCCCGTTCGTTCAATCTGCCCGCCCGTATAGTCCGATGCTTCGGCAGTGGGCAATAGGGAGCAACACGTACCAGTAGTGAGCAACAATTGTCCCAGGTAGTTGTAATAACAGCTGGAATAATTAGAGTATGATGCAGAAAAGTATATACTACATACTACTATTACTAGTAGTAGTCTATTATAGGCAAGATCACAAGCTATGACGCAGAGCATGTGAAGCACAGTAGATCTGGGGAGGGCGGCGAGTCATCCGCCTTCCCGAACGCCTCGGGATGTCGGTCATTCTTAGAAAAGATGGTGATGGCAATGCCAATGGCATGGCTATTGACGATAGTATATAATCAAAGAGTCTGCCGAGTCTATTCTGACACTTCCCTTCTTCTCTCCTCCTCTCCTTCTAGTGCGGCTTTCGGTATCCCCTCCTAAAGTAACTACTAGCTTCCGCTCGTCCAGCAGCCTCCGTTTCCCCGTCATCGCTGCTTTCAACTTCCCCCACAAGGTTTACAAGCCGCCACTTGACCCGAACTGTTTTATCCTCGGGATCTCGCTCTTCTGGATTCTTTAATTGTTTCCCCCCACTAGTCTTTTGGCCCTATTTCCTTTTTCCCTACCTTCTTTTTCTCTCCCTGCTCTACTCGGAGACTTCGATTCATATACCGTCGGCTGTTCACCCCGGGATTGTATACTTCCGACCCTCTCCGCAATTTCGGTTTCCCCATCGAATTTCGGCTACAGCTTTCTGCCACCCGACCCAGTCAATTGAACTCGGCCCAGATCTATTAGACTCTCCTCCGATCTGCGCGCGCCAATAAATCACTCCCCGCGCATTTTCTTTCCTTCTCTACTCCTCCATATCAACCGAAATCATGTCCGCCAAGAACGTACAAGGCAATGGCAGAAAGCGGGCCTCGCCTGCGGTAAACCTCATCGGTAAATTGCGCCTTTGTGATCGGCTCAGCTTCGATTTGATCTAGGAGACCCTGAATGCTGACTTGTGGAATATAGCTGGTGGTGGTGCCGGTATGATGGAGGCTCTCGTCTGCCACCCGCTCGGTATGTATCGCCAGATTGATAGCTAGCTTCGAAATATCTCTCTAACCCTATGAAGATACCATCAAGGTCCGCATGCAGCTCTCCCGGAGAGCGACAGCCCCGGAGTAAGTCCCATCGAGTGACCATGCCTTAGCAATTGTTGCTAACCATGACCGACTCGATAGGCTAAGCCTCGTGGCTTCGTTACCACCGGTGCCGATATCGTGCGCAAGGAGACCGCAATGGGTCTGTACAAGGGTCTGGGTGCTGTGCTGGGAGGTATCATCCCCAAGATGGCCATCCGATTCACCTCATACGAGTCGTACAAGGGCATGTTGGCCGATGAGAATGGCAATGTCACCAGCAAGGCCACTTTCCTTGGTAAGTAAAATTGGATAGCAGCCGCATTGAATAAATGAGCAATCCCGCTAACAATATTTAGCTGGTCTCGGTGCCGGTGTGACCGAAGCCGTCGCTGTCGTCAACCCCATGGAAGTCATCAAGATCCGTCTGCAAGCGCAACATCACAGTTTGGCCGACCCGCTCGACGCCCCCAAGTACCGCAGCGCCCCGCACGCCCTTTTCACCGTCGTCAAGGAGGAGGGTTTCAGCACACTGTACCGTGGTGTCTCTCTGACTGCGCTCCGACAAGGAACCAACCAAGCCGCCAACTTCACCGCATACACCGAGCTCAAGGCCGCCCTGCAACGCATGCAGCCTGAATACAGCAACACCCAGCTACCCTCCTACCAGACCACTATGATCGGTCTGATCTCCGGTGCCGTTGGCCCCTTCTCTAACGCCCCTATCGATACCATCAAGACCCGTCTCCAAAAAACCCGCGCCGAGCCTGGCCAGTCGGCTGTCTCTCGCATTATGGTGATTGCCAAGGATATGTTCAAGCAGGAAGGTACCCGTGCCTTCTACAAGGGTATTACCCCTCGTGTGATGCGTGTTGCTCCCGGTCAGGCCGTCACTTTCACTGTGTATGAGTTCCTCAAGGGCAAGTTGGAGGCATCCAACTGGGCGTTTGTGGGTGGAAAGTTTGACGAGTAAGCTGGGACGGTTTGCGTGCTTTGTTGCTGTTGAGAATGTGTGGGAAAGCGTTGTGATACCATTCCTCCTGCATGGGCGTTTCGTTTCCTGTTGTATTTTGAAGCTTTGGATTTAGCTGCGAGGACTTGGCCGATTGGAGCGGCTTTTGTACATATTGTCTTTGTTGTATACCACATTGTTGGACCTGTCCTGGTATAGCCAAAATCATAGAGAGAAAAAAAGTGTATAGATTGATCTGTTTTCAGTGTAGAGTAGTCAAGGGTATCAGTCATCGTGAGTCATCTTCAGTAGATCTCTGCTCTACTAGCAGCCCGATCATGGCGGAAGTATGCTGCGAATGTGGATTTGGGCGTGGATATGGCTGGTCCTGCTGCTGCTGGTGTTGGGTGAGCACTGAGGAGTGTTGACGAGGAAAGTCACCCGTCACTTTGGCCGACCCGCACTCCACACCCCGCCGCATTTCACCGCTTCCCCTCCCTCCATCAACAACCACCCAACCCAACACCCTGCGAGGTCCAGCCGACATCATGCAGTCGGGTATCTCAGGTACATCAGATCCCTACATAGCTCTATCTTCCTTCCAAACATACCCCCTACTAACACCAACCAGTCTCCCAGGAGCTCCAAGATGCCTTCACAACCTTCAACGCCAACACCTCGAGCTTCTGTCTGCCGGTAACCATCACAGGCGAGAGTCTAACACCACTCAGCCCAATCCCATTCAATGGCACCGCATCCAGCCCAGACAGCTTCTTCTCCTCGCTACCGGCAATCTCCTCGGTCCTCCAACCCAAAACCCCAATCTACCTCCTTCTCCGCCGTCCCACATCCATCACCACAACCCTCATCGCACTCACCTATATACCCTCCAATGCCCCCGTCCGCCCTAAGATGCTCTTCGCCTCGACCCGCTCCACCCTGACCCGCGAGCTGGGCTCGGAGAAATTCGCCTCTACCGTCTTCGCAACGGAGGAGGAGGAGATCGTCACGGCGGAGGCGTGGCGTGAACGCGAGAGCGAGAATAGCCCCGCCCGCCGTGAGGAACTCATGGGTGATAAGGAGCGAGAGCTGGAGGCTGTTCGCAGAGCCGAAGCCGAGGCTCGCAACGGTACCCCCCCAGCGAGATATTGGTATTGGTGGTACCTTTGGTGCGGGCTCGGGGTCTGGCATGAGAGTCTCTATGCCGGTTGATGAGGCTGCTACGGCGGCTTTGAAGGGATTGCAGGATGGTGGTCTTGTGCAACTGGTATGTCTAATCTACTACTACATTCCCTTTTTTGTTTGGGTGGGGGAGGGGGTTCATGCAACTTTACATGGGACGTTGTGCCCGGTAGACTCCGAGTGGTCATGGATGCGAAAATGGGGTATTATTGCTTGATATGATTCGAACAAGGCTGACTTTCCATTCGGTAGACTATTGACATTCCCACCGAAAAAATCATTCTTGCTGACAACCAATCTGGTGTCGAGGCGGGTGCTGTCGCCACCCACATCTCCTCCACCTCGCCCCGGTACTCCTTCTACCACTATCCCGGCTCGGACGTTGTGGTCTTTGTGTATACTTGCCCTAGCGGGTCTTCGATCAAGGAGCGGATGTTGCACGCTAGCTCGCGGAGAAATGCCATCGCGGTTGCTGAGGGAGAGGGTCTCAAGATCGAGAAGAAGGTAAGAAGGATGATGGCTGGTGGTTGGAGACATCGAATTGATGCTGATGCTGACTGAATGATATAGATCGAGGCTGGAGGTCCGGACGAGATCACTGCCGATCGATTGCAGGAGGAGGTCAACCCGCCACAAAACGTGGGTGCTGCGCGGGGATTTGCTCGTCCTCGTCGCCCAGGCCGGTAGATCACCCCACCTCACCTCATCACAGTGATGAGAGGTGCCTCCAGTATATTATGAAACGATTATATAGCGACCGCTGGCATGGCGAATAAATGTGTTCTCGCTTCTTCTGGTTTTGATCCTGTTCGTTCTTCCTGGCGTCCCCAAGTAGTCCGCACGTAGCTGCACCCGCTCCCCTCCAACCGAGAATGTAAAAAAGTGAAGATGAACCAAAACCAAGTCCAACGAGGAAGAGACGGAGGAGGGGAGGATATGACAAGGATCAATGATTCCGAAAACTCTTTTTCTGGTAGAATAAATCCGTCCTCGAACTTCCCAGATTGATAATCTTGGGACACCCGTCGCGATCCTTTTCCAGACGCGTACACTCGAAGCAGTAGAAGGCATCACTAATTCCCTCACCGCCGCAGACGACGCACTTGTTCTGGTAATTGCCGAAGGCGCATTCATCGCAGATCCGGACTAGAGTGGTTGGGCGCACGTAGGAGTCACACACGGGGCATTTACCGTCGCACTTGTCGCAAAGGCGACCGATCGAGATACCGGGTTGCTTGCGGCACATGACGAGATCGGGGTGATGGCGAGACATGGTGTGTGGAGGGAGTGAGGGGAGTGTGAGGAAAGTTGTAAATTATGACGGAGGAGGGAGAGGAAAGTAAAGGTTGGTGGAGGCGGAGGTGGAAGTGGAGGTGGAAGTTGGTGGTGTTGAGGAAAGAAAACGAAGTGGCCGGGCGAAAAGAAGCTTGGTGGTCCGTGCTTTGATACCCCGACCAGACAGCGCCCCGTTCAAGTTCAGGTTGGCACTGGCACTGGCACTGGCACTGGCACTGGCACTGGCACTGCAAAGAGCATCAGCCGTAATACTCGGACTATTGCAGTCAATCAATTTCCCCTTCCATTGCCACTCTCGCTCGATCTTTCTCTGTCTATAAAATAGCACCATCGGCTTACCAATATGTCCGACGGGTACGCATCGCCACTGCCACTCCTCCCACTGCGGCTCTGACTGCGCCGGAAATGTATGCTGACAATTACTTCTGTGCCATTCTTTAGGACTCTCGCCTCGGCAGTCGCACTACCCGAGCAAGACGCCATCCAACAGCCTCAAGAAATAACCACGAAACGAAGAAATTCCTCCATCACAGACCATGATTCCAAGCGTCGCCGACTGAGTGCCGACGGCGATGCCTCGCCGCATGCGCAGCGCCGACCCTCACAATCGTCTCCAGGAGAGCGCGAACGCCCAGATGAACGCAAACCTGCCCAGCGCGGGAGAAAGGAAGATGAGCGCAAGCGGGGACAGCGCCTTTTTGGTGGGTTATTAGGAACACTTTCTCAGAGCTCGACCTCGGCAGCGCAGAAGCGGCGCGCGGATATTGAGAAGAGGCAACAGGATAAACTGAAGAATCAGGCCGAGGAGTTTGACGGTCGTCAGAGTCGGAGGAAAGAGCGTCGAGAAGCAATTCGGAAGAAGGAGATGCCGTTTTACGAGCGCGAGGCTGTATGTTTTATGTTGTTGGTGATGATTATCGGCATTGAATGGTGGTGGCTGACTGGATTGCAGATGCAAACTCGACATTCGAATATGATTGCCGCAGCGCACTTTTTAAAGACTCGAGCAGAGCCAGTTTTGGTATGGAGTATAACATCTGCAATTGGATTGGTACCCCGTGGCTAACTTGTGAATCATATAGTTCTACAAGCCGTGGCAACTACGAGCACGCGATGAGACGACTATTGCAGACCAGATCAAGGAAGCCGAGGCAACTGTTTCTCGCGAAGTCGCCGATTTCGAAGCAAGATACCCTCCTGAAGTCTTTGTCTACCAGCCCGAACCGGAATTGAAGAATGAGCAGCCCGCGGAGCAACAAAAGCAACAACCATCGAATGCTGAGCAACAGGAGAAGGCTGAATCGATTGCGAAAGATCCTACTCCCGTAGAGCACGAAGATATAACAAAGGAAACTCCGGAGAATACGGTAGATGCACAACTTACCCAGCCCAATTCCGATCCAGGTAAATCTGATGCGCTGGATGAGCAGACAGCTGCACAAGTGGCTGAAGCCAACCGTGCAGCCGATGATGACGGGGGAGAAGTGGTTGAGGATAATGAGGACACTGTGATTTACTAGCAACGTATCTGTACCACTACTACGAGTACATATTCATGAACATGCATTTGGCGTATGCGAGGAATACTATTATTACTAAACTCTGGTTGTAGTTGGAGATCTCCGCAGTTTCAGCCGAGGCAGATCGAACCGCTGAGGGGCTCCTCGGTCTGCCGTTCGGCCACAAGTCTGCCCATTAGTGTTCAAGTTCAAGTTTGTAATCAATTGAAACATCACCCTATTATCCAAGATTCCCAGGTTCTATTGTTTTCTCATCATCAAGCAGGAGCCTTGCTGCTTTGGGTGAAACGTCCGGTTGCACGTGATACCAAACGCCCGCTGTGACATCGATTGAGATATATATTCCAACTTGAAGTTGTTCGGAACTTCAACTTGGAATTTCTTCAAGGTACTACTACCTTGACGCTCATCAGGAAGGTATTACCTGGGCAGATTTGGGACAATCCATTACAGTCAAGAAATAAATAGCAAAGAGCTAGTATAATGCCGGTTGACAAGATTCACGTTGCGGGTGACCCGCGTATCGAGTACAAGTCTGCCACAGTCAACGGACACAAGTACAGTGAGTCGCGGAAACCCTGGATGGACACTCTAAATCCTCCAAAAATACTTCACAGACCTTATATGGCGAACGAAGCTGTTGGTTATTGACCACCTGGGACTAACACTGCATGCAGGCTACCTTCTCAGCCAACCTCCATCTGGGAAACACCGAGCAACCATCTTTCTGGTGAGCCAAACTTCCCCAAGCCCTTCAAGTTGGACAGGACAAAGCCTTTGGATTTCAAGGGACTCTAGCTCACGACTTCCAGATCCATGGCTTCCCCGATATCTCGATGGGATGGCGCTACCAGATCCCAATGCTCGTGAATTCGGGCTTGAGGGTCGTAGCCCCGGACTGTCTGGGCTATGGCCGTACGGTACGTACAATCCGTAGCTGAAGTGATGTGCTGGATAACTGATAATAATAACAGGACGCGCCGCATGACTTTGCGCAATACTCTCACAAGCGTTGCGCAGACGATATCAAAGCGCTGGCCTCTCATCTCGGTGAATCCAAGATCATTTTGGGTGGCCATGATTGGTAAGGTCTACCAGAGCCTCATATGGATCAAATACCCAGTCCACTGACCAAACGCAGGGGCGCGGCTCTCGTCTACCGTATCGCACTGTGGCACCCAGATCTAATCAGCCATGTCTTCACCGTCTGCGTTCCATACGCTAGGCCTATGGAGAAGGACATTTCGCTCGAAGACATGGTCCGCACTGTGGCACCACATTTCGCATACCAGCTGCAGTTTGCAAATGGTGATTTGGAGAAGGTCTTCCAGTCCAAGGCGGAGATCAAGCAATTTCTCAGTGCGCTTTATGGCGGACGAACTGAGAAGGGTGAGTTCGGGTTCGAAGCTGAGAAGGGAATCTTGCTGGATAAGGTTATGCAACTGCGGCCGTCGCGATTGATGAGTGAGGAGGTGAGTCTTTTATCCTGCTTCTTCTAGATTTTTCTCGTAGTGATTTAGCTGACCGTTCAGGAACTGGATTTCTATGCGGGCGAGTTTGCGCGGAATGGTGTCCACGGACCGCGTATGTTTCTTTCTCCTTCATTGACACAGTCTAGGCTGTAAGCTAACTAATTAATCTAGTCAACTGGTACCGTACCCGCAAGGTTAACTACCAAGATGAGCTCAGTATCCTTGACCGCCGTATTGAAGTCCCTATGCTTTTCATCCAAGCACTGCGAGACCCGGCGCTCCCGGCACATCTTGGAAAATCCATGAAAAAGCATATTCCAAACCTGTCCTTGAAACAGGTCGATACTGCGCATTGGGCACTGTGGGAGAAGCCCGAGGAGGTTAATGCTATCATTGAAGAGTGGTTGAAGAATGTTGTATTTGCCGACGTGCGGAGTGGGAAGCTTTGAGACGGACCCGGACGGTTTGGTTGATTTTTGCAAGCATTTGGCAATGACGCCGGGTGAATGAATTGGCTGGCTAGTTTTATCCCACAGATAGTGATGGTGATTCATAGTGATTGTAGTTCATTAAATACATAGCATGGACACTGAACGAGATACCGAACGAAGACAGAAACAAACCATTCCGCCGACAGGGTAGACTAATCAGCAAAGGAAGGATATATCAACTAATAATCCAACACCTTAGTCTCAATACGACATCCCACCTGATCCAGCCGGTCAACGAACTCCTGACCCAACGCCGCAGTCGTAACGATACCGCCACGCGAGACCTTCTTAATTTTCTCTTCATTCTGAAGAATGACCATCGCGGCCTCGGCAACAAGTAATCCAGTGTACACATACATACTACCCTTGTAGGTAAGTTTGCCAAAGACACGCTTAGGCGAAGGACCCTGCTGATCCGCCGTCGCGACGGCATGGTATTCCATGCGATCATTTAACGAATCTTGCATACTTGGGCCATTACCAGGGGCAAAGATGAGCTTTCGCAGTAACCAGCGCACAGGAGGAAGAAGGAGCAGTGATAGACCGACCATCATGCCAACGTGCACAAGTGCGCCGATAAAGACATTCCGGACATTGAGGAATTGGTGGAACGCGAAGCGCTTCCCGTAGAATTCCGGCATGAGGGTGCTGCTGCGGTACACGATCGCCATGTCGGCCATGCCGTTTGGTGAGGTGGTCAGTGTGCCCAGGTCGCGCACTGAGCGTGCACCAAGGAGCTTTTGGAGAATCGTTTCGCGGGGAATATCCTTGGGCGGTGCCCCGGCAGTTAGTGAGAAGGGACCGGCGAATTTGAGGAGCTTGGAGGTTGGGAGCCAGTCGAAGACGCTGATGATAGTGTTGAGGGTACCGCCGCTGGCACCTGAGGACCTGGAATTTCGTTAGAAGAA